CACTTATGAGGTAGTTTATTGGTTTTCATTTCATCTTAAAGACGCTATCTGAGCAGTGCAATGTGATTGTATTTATCTGTTTTGCTTTATTGGAGTAGAGATTTCTGGAAGTGTGAGCACTCTTACGCATAGAGATCAAAGAATAGCAGAGGGGTAGAGGTCAGTTAGTTGATTTTTTTCTCTCAATAATAGTTATAACCTTCTCAAAAATTTAATTGGAGCCTGGTAGTTATAGGATACATACATATATACATCCAACTTGCATATTACTCTTTTCTTCTGCCTAGATGATGCCCTCCTTAAGGTCAGAGCCATGTTGTGTCCCCATTAACATAGACTCTGGCTCATGTCAGTGCCTTGTGTACAGTGCATATTACATGTTTGTTGTGGTTAATGGTTAAATATTATTCCTTTGGGGGTACTTCAGGAATTTAGAGCCTGTAACTGCCATTGTGCCTGCCTGCTTACCTTCTGGTTCATGTCTTTCCCCTTGGTAACACAGCATTCAAATCTTCACCCTTCTTCTGGCCATGTGCTCACCCAGGGAATGAGCTCTCCACAACAGGATAAATAGTGATTAACCTAAGATAATCATGATGATTGCACTCCAGTTTCCAAGGATTTCATTAGGCATGGGTTTTTGAAGCAATTCTAGCCAAAGGGACATTGAGGGAAGTCTGGTAAGTTTCTGGGGAAAAAAAATGTGTGTGTGTGTGTACATATATATACACACACACACATATGTTTATATATATATATTCCTTGCTCATATATATTATATATATATGTTCTACCTATCTCTTGTTAAGAGCATGTAACTATACACACACACACACACACACACATTACCTATCTCTTAAGTGTGTGTGTGTGTGTGTGTATATATATATTCACTGTTAACAAGAGATAAGTAGAATGGCTTTTTGAACCAATTGAACCAACCCTAGTAATATGTTTCAGTTCCCTTTAGCCTGCGTGTAAAAGGTATATATAAACATATATATATTCCTTGAATATATTATAATATGAATAATTATATAATTAATAATAATTATATTATCATAATATATAAATAATATATAAAAATTATATATTATATAATACATTACATATATTATAATAATATATATTACATATATTATATGTAATATATAAATTATTATATATAATATATATTATCCCTAGTATTATATTTCAGTTCTCTTTAACCTAACTGCAAAATTCAACAGAATGAAAAACTCTTCAATATATTGGTTGTTATAAAGAATGTCCTGTATTGAATAAATGATCTAAAAGGAACAGATTACCAGTTGCCTCAATCATTCTCTCTCTCTCTCTCTCTCTCTCTGTCTCTCTGTGTCTCTCTCCCCCCGCCCTTCCATTCACATGCTGCTCCAGGAAGACTCTTAGAGCTCATTCTGATAAAATATATGCAATTTGTCATGATACTTAATAGACTAATAGGTAACTTGTACAGATCTCTGCTATTTCTATTCCAGGGAAAACTGGAGAAATTAAGTTGCATTGAGGGCATCATCCTTGATGGAGGCATTGTCAATTATAAAAGCTTATTCTGTGTCGAGAATTTATATCTGACCACCCATCAGGGATGGGAGAGTTTTGGGATGCTTCTCCCTTCAGGCTGTTTCATTAGATCAGGGTTTCTTAACCTTACTATTGACATTTTGGACCACATAATTTCTTATTGTGTGGAGCTACTGTGTGCATTTTCAGACGTTTTAGCGGCAACGCTGGTGTATACTCACTAGATGCTAGTAACACTCTCTAATTGTCACAATCAAAAAATGTCTCCAGAAACAGCCAGATGTCCCCTGGGAGGCAAAATTGCCCCCAACTTGAAAACCACTTTTTAAGAGATAGATGATTGTTTCTTATAGGTCTATTTTGTTCTAAGACGAGGGCAGAAGAGAGGGCAGTTCTATCATTGCCTTAAGCATTTTATATTATAATGAGAAAAATAGAATGAATTAGCTAAGTTCCTCAAATTGGTCCTTTCAACCATACAGAGAACCTTTTGATGTGAGATATGTTTTGAAGCAAAATATAGTTACAGGTTAAACTCTTCACCCACAAAAAATCTGCAAAATAAAAAGTCAGCATTACATTATTTTGTAATCCTACTTCCAAAGGTTAAATAATCACAGATTTAACAAATTACCTACAATATGACGATGTTAAACTGTCGTCTTAATGAGGCTTCAATTTGTCACTGTTAATAGAATCAGCCAGGAATTCACTCCATTTGAACATGAAAAAAAGTCTGCTTACAAGGACTCTTCAGATGTGAACTGAATCATGCTTTAATAGAATTGTATGAATGGGGCAAGTAGACTGTTTCCTAATTTTTTATTTTTTTAAAGCAAATATTAAATACAATAGGCCAGGGAATACAATAAATGCTTTTGTCCAAATGAGAAAACTATCATGTCTATGATTAAATGTTCGTGTCCATTTTGCACACTAGGAAATAGGGTCTTTTCTTTTTCTATCCCTAGGACTTTGTGGCATGCTGAGCATATAGAAGATATCCTATACATGGTCTAAAATAAATATTTGAGAGGGTGTTGCCAATTTATTGGCTCCTTGAAACAGACTTTGAATAAAGATTTAAGGTAAAAGTAAACAATAATGCGTCTTTAAAGCAGTAAAGATTCTGTAGTTTGCAAAATAATGTAGTGATTTGTTATCATTGTGGCCATCCTTTCCTCTTCCCACTACTATCCTTCCAGTTACTAAATCTGTTATTCAGCCTTTGTCTGTGTCTCTACATCTATGCTGCTACTTCGAGTCCAAGCCACTGTCTTCTTTTGCCTAAGCTCATTCTCATGTTATTCTCCCTCTCCAATACATTTTCCCAATAAAGCAACCAAAGTGAACATGCTGAAACGCATTTGTCACCTCCCTGGCTTAGAACCCTACAGTGTGTTTCCCTTGTCCTTGGGACATCATCCAAAATCCTTAGTCTTTACAAGAGTAGGGCTATTTCTATTTTCTTCTCCAATGTATGTCCACTCTCAATATTTGCCTAGCACATAGTAGGTTCTTACCAGAAGATGGGACTGTATTAGGCTAACAATATGAGTTTACACTGTTTTCTTTGTGTTGGATCTTTAAGTGTGGGATAGGCATTTAATGTGGGAAGTTGGTGGGAATGGTTTGCTCCTACTTCCCACAGAATGCCATATTGGGTAGTGTTGAACCATCCCACATAATGCCATATTGGGTAGTGTTGAACCATGCATGAAAACTGGAAACTGGCCCGGGTACATGCACTAATACATGAATTATTTTTATCTTTGCCATTGCCTTACATCTAGAAAAAAAATCTTACATGGCTGGGTAGATTTTCATTCTATCCAGAACTAAGAAGGAAACCCAAGGCTTTAAAAAATTATTATCAATTTATTTATTGCTTTACAGCTTGTTCAAATTGTTACATATCTTGACTCATTGCTTAGCTTTTTGGCCAATAGGATTTCAGGATGCAATGCACTAATATAAACTCTTGGATTGGTTTAACTACCTCTGATGTCACAATTTCCCCATTAGAATGTCATAATTTTCTTGAAATCACATGATACCAATCACAACTCTTGTTATTTTGTTTCATTATGAGAAAGATAATCTACCAAATATAAAAATGCTGGAAGGAGCAAGATATCTTTGATCCAGGGAGACCTTTTCCATTTATGTGCTTTAGTAATCTACTGCCAACAAGCTATCTTCTTTATGTCCTTTTACGACTGATGTTGTTTTGTTTTCTCAAGTTTGCCTCTTAAATAGACAAATGGAGGCATGAGCTTCCTTAGAATTACTCCTTCGACTCATAGTTCTCTTTCATCTGGACTTTTGAGGCTTAGTATCTTTCTACTACTTAGCCTTCCTGACTCAAATGGAAAAGCCATTTGGACAGCTCACCTGAATATAACATTTCAGGTTGGAAATAAGATCATATCAGAGTTAGGAGAGAGTGGAGTGTTCGGGAATCATTCTCCTCTGGAAAGGGTGTCTGGTGTGGTAGTACTTCCTGAAGGATGGAATCAGAATGCTTGTAATCCTTTGACCAATTTCAGCAGGCCTGAACAGGCAGACTCTTGGCTGGCCCTCATCGAACGTGGAGGCTGTACTTTTACACATAAAATCAACGTGGCAGCAGAGAAGGGAGCAAATGGGGTGATCATCTACAACTATCAAGGTACGGGCAATAAAGTATTTCCCATGTCTCACCAGGGGACGGAAAATATAGTTGCGGTGATGATAGGCAACCTGAAAGGCATGGAACTTTTGCACTTGATTCAGAAAGGGGTCTATGTGACAGTCATCGTTGAAGTGGGGAGAATGCACATGCCATGGGTGAGCCATTACATCATGTCTCTATTTACCTTCCTGGCTGCCACAATTGCCTACCTTTACTTATATTGTGTCTGGAGACCTAGAGCGCCCAATTCTTCCACCAGGAGGCGAAGTCATATCAAGGCAGATGTGAAGAAAGCTATTGACCAGCTTCAACTGCGAATTCTCAAAGAAGGGGATGAGGAATTAGACCCAAATGAAGACAACTGTGTTGTTTGCTTTGACACATACAAACCCCAAGATGTAGTACGCATTTTAACTTGCAAACATTTTTTCCATAAGGCATGCATTGACCCCTGGCTTTTAGCCCATAGGACATGTCCCATGTGCAAGTGTGACATTCTGAAAACTTAAGAAATCTGGAGAATTTTCTGAAGATGTAACCAGATCTTTCCAAATACAAAGATTAGATAAATTCTCTTATCGTACTTTATGTAGAGAGAAAATTTCAGCTTCTCTATCCAGGTACAAACAAGGGTGAAATTTGTGTTTTAAAAATAAAACTCCATATCATGCCCAGCTATTTGAACTTCTTGTCTTTCTAATCAGTTTTAATTCTCACACCTTTTTGTCCTTATCCAAATAAGAACGTTAGTATATGTTAAAAACAATTTTTTTCTTCAAGTTACTAGGATTGTGACATTGCCATAGAGAATTAGCCATGCTATTTTAAAGTTTCCTTTTTTAATACTAATTCTTGTAGTTTGTTTCCGCATTTTGACTAATTTTGGTATCTAATAATTTATATCTCTGATTCTCCATGGTTAATTAATTTTATTAATGCCCAGGAAATCTAGTTTCCAAAGCTACTCACTGGATTGGTAATGTGTTCTAAATAATTATTTTAGATGATAGCACTTTAGTTATGTAAGGAGAAGTGTTCTAAAGTATTATAGGCCTCATTTAGGATAACATCGCAAACATTCACCTTTGTTTGCCAGAGCTCTTTAAATCCTAGCATAATGACTCAGCTATGGTAGCAGATTTCTTTTCTAGAAGTGTCCTTAGTAAATGCTTCTCTTTTCCTCTCCAAATGGTAATGAATGTTTCTCTGGGGCATTTTGATAACATAGAGCAGAGCTAAAATTTTGTTCAATTGCCTTTCCATGTTATATTCTTTGCCTTATTTTGCATCTTCCTTTTTTTCTAGTAGATGAATAAACACCTATACAACAATGAGAGACAGAAAGATTTAGGTATTGTCGTATTGATGAAAATTTCTGTTTCTGGATGATATGCTAAACCTTTCATGCCTGACTCAATGTCACTTTGTGAATATACACACCATGTAATACCTTTTAAAAAGTGCAGGGACGTATGGAAATAAAATTGGATTAATGGCCTTTGGGAGAGAAAATCAACCTTTATGGGTATGTTTTATATCATCAGTATTCTTTTTATACTGGTTTTTGTTGTTCCTTCCTCTTCCTTGTCTCAAATTACCATGTTGTAGATTCACATTTCATAAGAAGTAACAGCTCCTTTGGTGCTGGTGAGATCCAACCAAAAGTGACTTCTAGCACTCTACACATGTAGACCAGAGACATTTATGTTCAAGGTCAGAATCTTTAGCCTCGGTTTCCTAGCTGGTGGGAAAAAAACCCACTGAGATTCACGCCCAATAACGTGTACCAGTAGCAGCATGGCTGCTTGTGAACTCACTGCTTGTGAGTCCACATGACATCCTTTAGCTTTGAGGTCATATTGTGCCACTGACATGATTGTGGCCAAAACATAGGTAGAGTGGACAGAGCCTGTGTAATCTTCTAGAAGGGATATTTGTTGAGTTCTGCAAAAATGTTTGATAAAAGCATCTACTTATTGCTGCTAATGGTTAACTTTAAATATGCACCTTTGAAGTTTTTCTTAATAGCTGTTTTTTTAAAAATGAATTGTGCCAAATCAATATGACTTTATTTAATCTTTTCCTTGACACCCTTTCTCCTCCTCTTCAAAATATTATTTGATTAATAACAGATGTCAAGGCCTGCAGAGAAATTAGCTTCCCTAGATGTCAGTCCTTTACTCCTGTCAGACTTACTACATTTGTACAGTCAATGTAAGACAGAGAAAGTGAGGCAGGAGTAAACTGAGCAGGATCTCTTACTCTAAAACAGCAAAACCATAAAACAAAAGCCACAAATGTCTCAGAAAGCTTAAATAAATGCAATATAAGGGTTTATGTGATGAATCAAAAATTAGCAGTGTGGCTTTTACTTTTTGATGTAAAAATAATGTCACTGATATCACCACTTTTGCCTCACATCTGGTCACAGAACTAATTTTCAATTATCCTTTTTTTTTTTTTTTTTTGTAGCTTGCTGTTTTGTTGAAAATATCTCCTTCCTTTGCTGGGAAAAAAATTATATAGCATTCTTACATGTGCTTTCAGGCTTTAAAGAGCACACATTGTATGAATTTTAGACTTAATTTTTAGTTTAATGTGCTACCTACTATGATTATACGTAGCTCAGTGTTTATATCCATCTTATAACAACATAGAAATCACCTATAACAGCATTTAAGCCAATAAATTCACAGTGTGCTCTAAACTCTTATCTAATTGGCTGCTGGATCTTGCATGTCATAATCACATCAAACAACAGTAAGCAGTATCTAGAGTTAAAAGGAGGGGATTTATTTTTCAATCTAAAGATTTTCTCCTCTCTAATAAGACCTCTGAACTCATAAGCCATCTTTAAGAATTTCTTACAAAAACATGCTGGAAGATAGTGGATCTTATTTGTATCCTGAAGATTTTTTTCTCTTTGTTATTTTAAATTAATTGTCAACAGATGTGGAACTGTTGAGTTGGTTCTTAAGTCACTCGGAGAAGGGAAAGATGCATCTACTCAAGGTTGGCACTTGGAGAAACAACACTGCCTTTTCCTGGCTTATCATGTTCAGTGTTCTTTGGCTTGTTAGTCAGAACTGTTGCAGAGCAAGTGTTGTTTGGACGGCTTATATGAACATATCATTTCATGTTGGGAATCATGTGTTGTCAGAGTTGGGAGAGACTGGAGTCTTTGGAAGAAGCTCCACTTTGAAGAGAGTGGCAGGAGTTATAGTGCCACCGGAGGGAAAAATCCAAAATGCATGTAATCCCAATACCATTTTCAGCCGATCAAAGTACTCAGAGACCTGGCTTGCACTTATTGAACGGGGAGGTTGTACCTTCACACAGAAAATTAAAGTGGCAGCTGAGAAGGGAGCCAGTGGAGTGATCATCTATAACTTTCCAGGAACTGGCAACCAGGTGTTCCCCATGTTTCATCAGGCATTTGAAGATGTCGTTGTGGTTATGATTGGTAACTTAAAAGGCACGGAAATTTTCCATTTAATTAAGAAGGGAGTTCTCATTACAGCCATGGTTGAGGTGGGGAGAAAGCACATCATCTGGATGAATCACTATTTGGTCTCTTTTGTGATTGTCACAACTGCTACCTTAGTATATTTCATCTTTTATCACATTCATAGACTTTGTTTAGCGAGGATTCAGAACCGGAGATGGCAGCGATTAACAACAGATCTTCAGAATGCATTTGGACAACTCCAACTTCGAGTGGTAAAAGAGGGGGATGAGGAAATAAATCCAAATGGAGATAGCTGCGTAATTTGCTTTGAAAACTATAAGCCTAATGACATAGTCCGTATTCTGACTTGTAAACATTTTTTCCACAAGAATTGCATTGACCCCTGGATTTTATCCCATGGGACATGCCCCATTTGCAAATGTGATATTCTTAAAGTTTTGGGGATTCAAGTGGATGTTGAAAATGGAACAGAACCTTTGCGAGTTCTAATGTCAAGTGAACTGCGTGAAACCTTATCACCTAGTGAAGAGGAGACAAATAACGAAGTTTCTCCTGCAGGAACCTCAGATAAAGTAATCCATGTGGAGGAGAACCCTACTTCTCAGAATAATGACAGCCAGCCTCATTCAGTAGTGGAAGATGTTCATCCTTCACCTTGATGGCCTGACTTTTGAGGAAGTGTATTAAACCTGTATGTGAAATCAGATCCTGATACTGACAAGCAGTTTGTCTGTTTGAAGTGTGGTTTTCTGTGTCATTTTTTGTTACTTCAGTAATTTTCTACATTCTTTGTTAAACCTCAAAGACAGAAAAAAAGTCCTAGCAGGATTTTTTTGTTTAATTTTGGACCTTTGCTAAGTGTAATTTTTTGTCAGTGTATGTTACTCCTGTGAGTGTACATATGTATATTTGTATGTACACATCCATGTTAAAGCTAAGGACAAACTTGTTTTCTTAAATATTTTCTGTACATATATTGGGCTCTATTTTGGTAAAAATATTACTGATATATTTGTATGTTTGTTCTAATACAGAAACTATCAATTAAGTTTGAAAACAAATTATCTTTTATGTGCTAGGAAGAGTAAAAATTATCTTTTGATAACATATTTATAGTATGTCTTAGTTGTGAGGTCATTGTGCTGTTTTTTTTTTTGCATTCTTGGCACGAACATTTTACAAAATTTTATAACTCTTATTCTTGATAAATAGTTCTGTTCAAGCAATTAGTACTTTTTTGTGATATACATCTGTGTAGTGAAATTTTAAAATACTAGCACTCTTTAAGTGAACAGCAAATATTTTAGTGTCCAGTGTTACTTATAATAATCGTTACATGGTCATAAAACATAGAACGACTTTGATACTTAGTCATGGCATATTTACTCCCCATGTGTTTCTCCCCACTCCCCAGTTTAGTTTCTTAAATAAAATGTTTAACCTATGCCAGACTATTCTTGAGAGAAGTGATACAGTATAGAAATTGTTATTATGATGTGATCATGTTTCTTTTGTTCACTATATTCTCAGGGTCCAGCAGAGTGCCTGGCACTCAAGTATTTTTGAAGGAATGAGTGAATAAGTGAATAAATAATGATAAATATCTTTGCTGTAATGCAACTATTATGTGTTAATTTGAAAAACTTAACTGTTTTTCTCAATTATACAAAATAACAGAAAATTCTGAAATTTTTCACTCTAAATTACTTTGAAAAAATATTAAATTATAATTTTAGTCCAGAATTCATGATTATAGTTCAGCATGCATAATTTTAATGAGCAGCTTTGAACTCTGTAAGGCTAACACTGGGATTTGAATTATTGGGCAACCTTGGAGGGTGACCTAGTGAAGAGGAATGTTAGGAGTTGCTCAGTGTTAACAATACTGGAATTTAGACACAGGTAGAAGGGTAGTAGTTGGCTATAACTGCCACCCCATGGAAGACTAAAGGAGGAGAGGCACTAATCTAAGACCAGGAAGAATCGGGGCAAAAACTGGGCAAATGACCAGTTGTGAGCCATGCCTTGCTTGGTACACAAAGGCTTTTTTACATGCAACTTTAGAGACTTTTGTGTTAATCACAAGAGCTGTTCTTTGAAAGAACTGCATAGCACCAGGACTACTGGAGGATTTAGCAGGAACACTAAGTGTTATTTCAAGCTTACCCTGGAAGAGTAAAGTCATTTCCTGAGGGATGAGGGACCACACAGAAGAGAGAGGACACTGAGGACCCCATGACAGCTGCCCCTAAAAGGATCAGCTCCTAATCAGGATAAATTGTCATTCTTTGGCCACTGTTAGTGTTTCTGCCACTACAGGATAGCAGCGGATGGGGGTGGAGTGGCTAAAGTGATTTATACCATTTGTCCAAGAAAATCACTAGAGCTATGACAACGAATGCATCTGTAGTGTTGGCAGTCCCTGAACATAGAGTTGCAGGGTCACTGCAGCTCTGTGTACTCTTGTGTGGGGTACTTGTTCCATGACATCTGGCAGTTCAAGAATTTGTTTGCTATTCACACTGACAGTGCCATTGTGTTCTTTATTCTCCCTCCACATCGTTGTTGGTTTTTCCTTTTCTTTTTTCTCCTCCTTTTCCTTTGTTCATCATTGTCAATCTAAGACCTGAGTTACTCCCATGTATAAGAAAATGCACACTCCCATGTGCATCCTTCTATAATATAACCTTTGTTAATGTGGACATTTAACATTTAACACAGTGTGCTTGTTTGAGAATTTTCTATGGATGTTCTTTAAAGGGTGGTTGGAATCTATATTTGGAGTGGGAGGGAAAGGGTCAAGTCAGTGAAAATGGAAACTGTCTGCTGAGTGGCTACCATGTGCCAGGTAGAGGACTAAGTGCTTTACATAGCTGTTTCTTTTTTGTCAGAACAAAATAGTTTTAATCTTAGTGTTTAGAATGTTGTAAACAGATCAATAAACCACTTTCACTCTGGGTTTACTAAATAGAACTTGGAAATAGCACTGCTATATCAAATGTTATTCATTATAATAGATTTTCACTTATTCTGTGGGCTATATACCATTTTCTCTTGTACCTAGTGATGCAAACATCTCTTGTCATAATGACATGGGATTAATAATATGAACTCCAGAAGGGAGTTTATGTTCCTTGTAAGAATCAAGCTTGCTTTTTTATTCACTCCTTAGATAAATTACATTTAATATTCTACTACAGTGAAAAATATCCACTTCAACTCTTATCAGATGGTGCTATAGGTGAAATGACTTACTCCAGCTATACAGTATCTCTTGTTATAGGACACACTACATTGATAATATCCGTATCTCTTACTATAGAATTATTATAATGCAATTGTCCTGCAGAGAATGTTAGTCAGCTATTTATTTGCACTAGCGTGAGCCTTTCAAAGGATTTAGTGAGCCAGGGATCTGGCTTTTCTGATGGGATTTACACTCCTTTACCATTTAATGGGTTTTGAAGCAGCACACAGGTGTCAACTGGGGGAAAGATCAGCATTTGGGAAGGCACTGAAGCAAGCAGAGAAATCTTCACATGCTGGTACTGTGAAGGAGTCCTTCTCATGCCAGTTCTATCCTCCCACTCCATCATTTACTATAAGCACCTGTTTTTGTATTTTAAAAACACATTTGATTTTTTGGCTTTGTGCTTAACTGTATTTTTAAATATTTAGTTCTTAATGCTGAAAAATAAAGGTTATAAATTCATATATTTACCAGCACAGAAATATCTTTAAATACATACTTCGTTTTATAAGTGGGGGGAAGGGAGTGTACTTTAGAAAAAGCGATGATCTCTTTCCTACCAGTAAGTGTTATTCTATCACAATTTGTCACCTCCCCTTTTCATAGCCACATCATAGCTTCTAACCGCTTTCTTCACAATTATGGCAGCATCTTTATCAGATCTCCAAGTTACTGTGTCCTTTGATGATTTTTAGATGCTGCCATGCATACTTTTCATCACTGTTGATGAACAGAGTGACTCTGATCTCAAAAATCCTCTACACATGTCCAGTTTAGCAACACACTGTTGTTGCCACACATCATGTTCTCTCATCTTTGAAAACTTAACAACTTACAGCATCTTTTTCAGAATTCCCTCTGCATTTGCTTGACTGCTCATCTCCACTACTTCTTCAGGCTTGTTCTTGGTTCTCATTCCAAGCAGTTTCCCTTAACTGTTGTCCCTCTCTTCCCAGTCCATCTCTTCCAACTTCAGCCTAGAACCAATTGTAAGTCATTTTAGTTTTACCAAGTGCCATCAAATTCCTTGCCTCCTACACTTTCCTACAATATCATTTGCCTTCCCTGAATCGTTCCTACATCTGCTTTTAATACTTCTAAACAGCCAACTGTTGCTCAAGTTGTAATATTTATTATTATCTGATGTCAACTAGATCTTTGCTTCTGTTTAAAAATCCTTTAGTAATCTCTTAACTCTTTTATTTTTTTGAGACAGTACTCTCGCTCTGTCACCCAGGCTGGAGTGCAGTGGCGCGATCTTGGCTCACTGCAAACTCGACCTCCTAAGTTCAAGTAATCTTCTCCTTCCTCAGCCTCCTAAGTACCGATTACAGGTACACACCACCACTCCCAGCTAATTTTTTTTTTTTTTTGTATTTTTAATAGAGTTGGGGTTTTGCCATTGTTGCCCAGGCCTGTCTTGAACTCCTGAGCTCAGGCAGTCTGCCCACCTCAGCCTCCCAAAGTGCTAGGATTACAGGCATGAGCCACTGCGCCCAGCCTCTTACTCCCTTTGATAGTCCCCATAGAGTAGTACTTCAAAGCCTTGGCTGCACATCAGAATCACCTGGAGAGCTTTTCAAAGTCTCAATGTTCAGGATGCATTCATGACATCTGGGCTGGGACCCAGGCATTGGTAGTTTTTGAAGTTGCCCAGGGGATTCCAACGTGCACACAAGACTGAGAACCACTGCTAGAGGACTGTTCCAAAGAGCCTTTCATCAGGTCCCAAATTTTACCCTCTGTTAAGTTTGACTTTTTTTCACTTTACTGAAAGTGTCTTGGTGGAAATCAAAATATCAAGGTAGAAAGTGTTAAATGTCTATTCCTCATGGAGAGGAATTGATAAAGGCCTGTGGCGATATGAAGGGAAGAATTTCAACTGGAATAATAATTAGGGAACACTTAAAGAAGGAAATGATATTTAAAATGGAAATCTACTTGGTGGAAAGAAGGACATTCTAGTGAAGAGAACAATGTTAACAGTTTTTTATAAAGGAGCTTTGAGTGTCACTTGGAATTTTGGTTAAGAAACTTGAAGACACAGTGTAAGGAACATGGCTGTGCTTTGGTCAAGGATAGGCTGAGGTAAACATCCAGAGTGACTCAGCAAGTTTAGAGTGCAGGCGTTTAACTCCACCTGTTATCACAGCCATGTGGCCATAACATGGGAAGGTTTATCGTTTGGCTCTAAGCTACTGTTGTCTGTAAAAGGTATAATTGCCCTGATGACACTGTATAGGCACACTTCTGCCCCGAGAAAGAGTTAAGCTGCTGACCCTGAAGGCAGTGGAGAGCTGGCCATGCAGCTGTGCATGGGAGCAGCCAGCACAAACAGCTGAGACAGAGACAACAGTGAGAGCTGTTGATAGGAAAGCTGCTGAATAAAACTATATTTCCCCTGCTTATGGCCCCGAGTGTTCTTTCAGCTATATTCCAATCCACCCACTCCCCTCGGACCTCAGCAGGGGCTGGACCCTGGCCA